CAGTCCGCTGGCGGCTCCGTCCCCTGAGGATCTTGAGCACACGGGCCAGGGGCCTGAGGATTGGGGGCTGTTCTGCCCCTTCCGCCACCGGTGGTGCCTGACCACTCCTCCCCGGGGTGTGGGGTCTGGGGCCCAGCCTGTGGGATACCACCACAGGCCACCTGCCGGCCAGGGAAGTCACCTGCCCGCCCAACCCATGGCAACCACCTCCAACACCAGCAGAGACGGCCTGGGTTCTGGTGGGTTGCCCCCCAACTGCCTTCACCCACATCACACCCGCTGGTCTGGGGCCTGGGATCAGCTACGAGCTTAGCTGGGGCTGCCACTACCAGGATTCGAGCAGGGCACCTAGAGGACCCCAAATTGCTCCCCTGAACCCATTAACGCCACAGCCAGCCTACACCGCTCCTGGGTTTAAGAATGAGGCAAGCTCAGCCCACCACTGGGGCTCAAAGACTGGCCCACCTTAGCCTCCTAGTCCCCAGCAACCACACCCTCCACTAATAACCACCCAAGAAATCATACAGCGCCCACAATACTACCCCAAATCAAAGCCAAAATGCCCCACCTAACCAACACCATATCTACATTTTCAGGAAGAAGTCCTCCCCTACAAAGTGAGTTCACAAACTTGGAAGAAGCAATTTACACAGGATGCGCAGATTTCAACAGAAGGACACGGGAAACGTGAAAAAGCAAGGAAGTGGGATGCCTCCAGAGGAACCCAGTAATTCTCCAGCAACAGATCCCCATACAAAAGAAATTCAAGAAATGTCATATAGAGAATTGTGGAAACTGATTTTAACCAAGATTAGGGGGATTCAAGAGACTTCTGAAAAAGAAAGTAGGGAAACGTCAGTAGCAATTCTAGATATGCTTGAGGTATTTACCAACCAGTTACAGAGTTTACCAGAGCACGTGGCAAATGTGGAACTGAAGAAATCACTGGATGAAATACAAAGTACACTCAAAAGCTTCAATGGTAGACTAGATCAAGCAGAAGAAAAACTCTCAAAACTTAAAATCTGAAGCCTTTTTCTCAATTCAAAGATTTAAAGGGTTGTACTCTGGCCATTCATGTGAACAAAATCTGCTGGGTTAATTGTTATACTGGGGTCTTGGATAATCATTAAAGGTGAAATGAAAATAATTTCTTTTTGAGGTGGTCAATTTTGCAAGACGGATTCTTGTGAGGCAGCAGTCATGGAAAGATGATTTAGTTCAGTTGACATTAATAGTACTCTTGGTAATCCAACAGGTGAATGTGGTTCAAACTAAATTGCCAGGGATTTGTGGTCTACTAGAAAAGCCACTCTCTCCAATAGACTGCTCACACAGCTACATGTCCAGCCCTCCTCACTGTGAAAGTGACAGACACCCTAGCATTTTTATTCTTCCTTAGGTGCCTCAACTTTTTCTCCCACTCTCAGCTGTAAAGAGCTATATCTACCATTTGATCTACTTATTGTATTTTCTTGTTGGCTATGTTAAAAAATTACAAACATAGCAATTATGAATGAAAAATAACTCCATGGCCAGGCACGGTGGCTCATTCCTGTAATCCTAGCACTTTGGGAGGCTGAGGCGGGTGGATCACAAGGTCAGGAGTTCAAGACCAGCCTGGCCAAGATGGTGAAACCTTGTCTCTATTAAAAATACAAAAATTAGCTGGGCGCAGTGGTAGGTGCCTGTAATCCCAGCTGCTCGGAAGGCGAGGCTGAGGGAGGAGAATTGCTTGAACCTGGAGGGTAGAGGTTGCAGTGAGACTCTGTCTCAAAAAAACAAAACAAAAACTCTTAAGATGATTAAAACAAACTTATACAATAAACCATAAACTCACCATATATAGTGATTCTGTACATTAAATCTTTAGAACATGTTTACCAATTTCGTGTTAAGAAAAATTTTTTAGAAGTTGTGTATGGGCTGGGCACAATGACTCATGCCTGTAATCCCACCACTTTGGGAGGCTGAGATGGGTGGACCACTCAAGGTTAGGAGTTTGACATCAGCCGGGGCAACATGGCAAAACCTCATCTCTACAAAAAATACAAAAATTAGGCATGCACTAATTAGTGGGATGGACTATTACTGGTGCGTGTATCTCTAGTCCCAACTACTCAGAGGCTGAGGTGGCAAGATCAGTGGAGCCCAGGAGGTTGAGGCTGCTGTGAGCTGTGGTCATGCCACTGCACTCCAGCTGGGATGACAGAGTGACACCGTGTCTCAAAAAAAAAAAAATTATGTCTGTACTCCACTTTTCTTTTTTTTTTTTTTTTTTTTTTTTTTTTTTTTGAGACGGAGTCTTGCTGTGTCACCCAGGCTGGAATGCAGTGGCCGGATCTCAGCTCATTGCAAGCTCCGCCTCCCGGGTTTTTACGCCATTCTCCTGCCTCAGCCTCCCGAGTAGCTGGGACTACAGGCGCCCACCACCTCGCCCGGCTAGTTTTTTGTATTTTTTAGTAGAGACGGGGTTTCACCGTGTTAGCCAGGATGGTCTCGAACTCCTGACGTCGTGATCCGCCCGTCTCGGCCTCCCAAAGTGCTGGGATTACAGGCTTGAGCCACCGCGCCCGGCTGTACTCCACTTTTCAACTGGATATAGTGTCCATAATCAAGGTCATCTAAATATAATGTTTTGCAGAGATTTTTTTTTTTTTTAGACAGAGTCTTGCACTGTTGCTGGGGCTGGAGTGCAATAGTGCAATCTTGGCTCACTGAAACTTCTGTCTCCTGGGTTGAAGCGATTCTCCTGCCTCAGCTTCCTGAGTAGCTGGGATTACAGGTGCTCGCCGCCACGCCTAATTTTTTGTATTTTTAGTAGAGTCGGGGTTTCACTATGTTGGCCAGGCTGGTCTTGAACTCCTGACCTTGTGATTCACCTGCCTTGGCCTCCCAAAGTGCTGGGATTACAGGCGTGAGCCACCGTGCTTGGCACTTTCTGTTTTTTTGAGATGGAGTTCTGCTCTTGTTGCCCAGGCTGGAGTGCAATGTCACGATCTCAGCTTACTGCAACCTCCGCCTCCTGGGTTCAAGTGATTCTCCTGCCCTAGCCTCCCAGGTAGCTGGGATTACAGGCACGCTATCACTCCCAGCTAAATTTTGTATTTTTAGTAGAGATGGCGCTTCACCATGTTGGACAGGCTGGTCTTGAACTCCTGACCTCAGAATTTCCATCCGTCTCAGATTCCCAAAGTGTTTGGATTACAGGTGTGAGCCACCGCATCCGGCCTTTTGGAGAAATTAAATGCTTTTAACCTTCCAAAGTATCCTGGGTGAACTGTACACCCATGCTGCTAGCAGTGTATACGCTAGAGCCAAAAGGTGAAAAAACCGAAATGTCCATCAACAAATGAATGGATAAATAAAATGTGTAGGATAGAATATTATACCACCTTAAAAAGGAAGGAGATTCTGATACATGCTACAAGGCATGTGAGCCCTGAGATCATTAAGCTCTGGGAAATAAGCAATTCTTATGCCTCAGCCACCCGAGTAGTTAGTATTACAAAAAGACAAAAAATAGTGTAGGATTCCACTTATATAAGGGACTTAGAGGAGGCAAAGTCATAGAGACAGAAAGCAGAATGGTGGTTGTCAAGGGCTGGGGAAGGAGGAATGGGGAGTTGTTAAGTGGGTACAGTTTGAGTTAGGGATGATAGAGGGTTCTGGGGATGGACGGTGGTGATGGCTGTACAACAATGTGAGTGTCTTGAATGCTACTGAACCATATACTTCCAAATGGCTAGAATGGTAAACTTTGTTATGTATAGTTTATAGATAGTTATGTAACAGGATAACGAAACAGCGTCGTTAAAAACAGAGTAACTTAAAATTTGAAAACATCCCCAGTGACCAGGTAAATCTTTTAGGCTTATAATGAAAATAGCAATGCATTTCTTATTGTAACTACTTTAAAAATAGTTTTTAAACTATTTTTAGTTTAAAATAAACTAAATCTGCCACATTCTTTTTCTAGTCTGCCACAGTCTTGATTTCCCAATCATATTTTTTCTTTTTTCTTTTTCTTTGTTTTTTGGAGACAGAGTCTTGCTCTGCTGCCCAGGCTGGAGTGCAGTGGCGCAATCTCGGCTCACTGCAACCTCCACCTCCTGGGTTCAAGCAATTCTCTGGCCTTGGCCTCCTGAGTAGCTGGGATTACAGGCACCTGCCACCATGCCCGGCTAATTTTTGTACTTTTAGTAGAGACAGGGTTTCACCATGTTGGCCAGGCTGATCTGGAACTCCTGACCTAAAGTAATACACCTGCCTCTGCCTCTCAAAGTGCTGGGATTACAGGTGTGAGCCAATGTACTCAGCCTTTTTTTTTCTTTTTTTGTTTGAGACAGTCTCACTCTGTTGCCCAGGCTGGAGTACCGTGGCACAATCTTGGCTGACTACAACCTCTGCTTCCCAGGCTCAAGCAATTCTTATGCCTCAGCCACCTAAGTACTGGTATTACAGGTGTGTGCCAACACGCCTGGCACATTTTTGTACTTTTAGTAGAGATGGGGTTTCGCCATGTTGGGCTGGTCTCGAACTCCTGGTTTCTAGCAGTTCTCCCATCTCGGCCTCCCAAAGTGTTGGGATTACAGCTGTGACCCGCTGCAACTGGCCAGGCACTTCAATTTTTTTTTTTTTTTTTTTCTCTTCTTGGAGACAGAGTCTTGCTCTGTCACCGGGCTGGAGTGCAGTGGTGCAATCTCAGCTCACTGCAATCACCACCTCCCAGGTTCAAGCAATTCTCCTGCCTCCGCCTCCTGAGTAGCTGGGACTACAGGCACGCCCCACCACGCCCAGCTAATTTTTGTATTTTTAGTAGAGATGGGGTTTCACCATGTTGGCCAGGATGGTCTCTATCTCTTGACCTTGTGATCTGCCTGCCTCGGCCTCCCAAAGTGCTGGGATTACAGGTGTGAGCCACCACGCCCAGCCAGGCACTTCACATTTTATGTCACTCTGTATGTCTGCAAATAACTGAGAAAGTGCCACAGTATTGATTTGGGGGTTACAAACATATTTTAGTGAATTCTCAAATACAAAATCTATGAATAACGATCAAGTATACCTTCATTTGGCATGTTAAGTACCCCAGGTTCCCACATTATCTGAGGGAGGGCAGCATATGAAACTTATTTAGACCTCTTTTTAAACATTTAATGTAATTTAATCTATTTGAGACATGGTGTCTGTCACCCAGGCTGGAGTATAGTGGTGCGATCTTAGCTCAGTGCAACCTCTGCCTCCCAGGCTCAAGCAATTCTTATGCCTCAGCCACCCGAGTAGTTAGTATTACAGGCATGTGCCAACACACCCTGTGAATTTTTATATTTTTAGTAGAGATAGGGTTTTACCATGTTGGCCAGGCTGGTCTTGAACTCCTGGCTTCAAGTGATCCGCCTGCCTTGGCCTCCCAAAGTGCTGAGATTACAAGTGTGAGCCACTGAGCCCCACCTAGAACTCTTACAGAGAATGAAGAATGCGTTTTGATTTTCTTTTTTGCATATCCAAGACATGGCACTCAAGTTTCTGAATTGGCCTTACTATTAGGTTGGTGCAAAAGTAATTGTGGCTTTTGCCATTAAAAATTAAAAATGGCAAAAACCGCGATTAGTTTTGCACCAACCTAATATTTAGGAAAATGGAATGAGTTCCGCGAGGGTGGGGATTTGTGTCTTTTTCATGCATGCTGTCTGCAGTCAGCAGCTAGGACAGTGGTGCACACACAGCAGGTGCTCAACCCGTCGGTGTTTGTTGGGTAAATCAAGGAATGAAAATTACATTCAAGCCAATACACATGATTAAACTACTGTTGTATCATTGGGCTGCAACGGTTACAATTCCACAAACTATGTAACTGGACATATGTGAAGGTGGTAAATCCCTCCATTTTATAGGTCTTTGGGAAGTTCTGGGGCCAGGAAATCTGAATTCGATGATAGGACTTTCTAAACTGAACTCAGGACAGAGCATAGATGGTCTGAGTGAATGCCCTGTGTGACAGGTGCCTTCCTGCAGGTAGGAACACTTCCTCTGCAGTCACAGGGAGAAGAAAACATCAGGAGCTGGATGTGATTTCACATCTGCACCAAGAAACATGCTGATTTCACTGGGGAGGTGGCAGTCCCAGGTGAAGGCTGGCTAGGTCATAATTGACATCTCCTCCCTGTCTCTGCTCTCAGACATGGAGTTGATGATGCTTTTTAAATACTTTATGAATTCCATCCGGATCTCCTCAGGGTCATCTTCCAGGTTCGAGTGCACCAGCTTCAGCTTGTTCAAGGGTGGCGCTTGAAAATGAAGATAAGGTTAATTAGTCAAGGAGTTTCAATGAGGGGCCCTTTCTAGCTCCCAGTGAAACTTCTAGAAGAAATTTAACTTTCTGAAGTTCACAAATCAAGTTGTCTTCCTTGACACCAGAGAACAGAGAAAGGGTTTGCTATATTGCCACCTGGCAACAGGATGAAAACCTTACAAACCACTTTCCAGGTCTTCTGTTCTTATAGATTCTCTATTATTCTCATTTTGTTTCTGAGTATTTTCTGACTTCTTTTTCAGGATTACTGTGTCACCCTTGGGATGTGTGTTATGTGAATTGGAGGTTTTTCTCCAGAAAAGTTCTTTCAGAAAGAGTGCCACCCCAGTCATACCCAAGAATAGGGACAAGCAGGATTTTCCCACTCTGTATTCTGGTTTTTTTTTTTTTTGAGACAGAGTTTCACTCTTGTTGTCCAGGGTGGAATGGAGTGCAATGGCACAATCTCAGCTCACTGCAACCTCCACCTCCCAGGTACAAGTGATTCTCCTGCCTCAGTCTCCTGAGTAGCTGGGATTACAGGCGTGCACCACCACCCCCAGCTAATTTTTGTATTTTTAGTAGAGGTGGGGTTTCACCATGTTGGCCAGGCTGGTCTAGAACTCCTGACCTCAAGAGATCCGCCCGCCTCGGCCTCCCAAAGTGTTGGGATTATAGGCATGAGCCACTGCGCCTGGCCTTTCATTTATTTATTTATTTTTTGAGATGGTGTCTCATCCTGTCACCCAAGCTGGAGTGCAGCGGTGAGATCACTGCAACCTCTGCCTCCCGGGCTCAAGGAATTCTCCTGCCTTAGCCCCTGAGTAGCTGGGACTACCGGCGCCTGTCATCATGCCTGGCTAATTTTTGTATTTTTAGTAGAGACAGGGTGGACTCACATGGAGCGGGCAACAATTGCCTAGGGTACAGAAGGTGCTCAGTAACTGGACAGAGCTGCTGGTTTGTAGGACGTGGGGCAATATGTAGGTGTCCAAAACATTCAAGACAAAAGAGGAAGAGAAATTCCAGTTTCCTTACACAAAGACAGGCTTCCTTTATCATCTCCAGAGCCTGGTTTGTGGTGTGCAATTAGCATACACTGTGTGTCCTGTAAGGACTGCTGTTGGACAAAGCAGGAATACCACATCTCCATTTCCTTCCGGTGGCTTGGGATGTCAGCATTGAAGATGATCACCACTCCATGAGCATCCTTCATCAGGGCTGGCCAGCAGGACTCAAACCTGGGAGGAAGAAAAGGAACAAGAGGGAAAGTCAGGTCATTCTGGTTTCTAACTGTGGACTTTAAAAAGAATATCTTAGTATTAAAAGTTGGTCTATAACAGCCTGGGCGTGGTGGCTCACTCCTGTAAGCCCAGCACTTTGGGAGGCTGAGGCGGGTGGGTCACGATGTCAGGAGATCGAGACCATCCTGGCTAACACGGTGAAACTCCATCCCTACTAAAAATACAAAAAAGTTAGCCGAGCGTGATGGTGAGCTCTTGTAGTCCCAGCTACTCGGGAGCCTGAGGCAGGAGAATGGCATGAACCCGGGAGGCAGAGCTTGCAGCAAGCTGAGTTTGCACTACTGCACTCCAGCCTGGGTGACACAGCGAGACTCCATCCCAAAACAACAACAACAACAAAAAAGAAACAGTTGGTTGATGACTTTTTTTTTTTTTTTTTTAAAGAGACAGGGTCTTGCTCTACTTTTTGTTGCCAACAGCAACAAAAGTAGGAGGTGGGTGATGGCTGGGCAGTCTTTTAAAATTGTGCAGTTGTGGGATCATAGCTCACTGCAGCCTCCAACGTGGGCCCGAGCGATCCTTCCGCCTCAGCCTCCTGAGTAGCTAGGACTACAGGTGTGCACCACATCAGGCCAATTTTAGTTTTTTTAAAGGTTGATGATTTCTTCATTTAAAAAAAAATTGTTATTATTTTTTGAGGTAAGAGTCTGGCTCTGTTGCCCAAGCTGGAGTGCAGTAGCAACGTCTACCTCCCAGGTTCAAGTGATTCTCCTGCCTCAGTCTCCTGATGTGGCTGGGATTATTGGTGCACACCACCATACTGGGCTAAGTTTTGTATTTTTAGTAGAGACGGGGTTTTGCTATGTTGGCCGGGCTGGTCTCAAACTCCTGAGCTCTGGTGATCTGCCTGCCTCGGCCTCCCAAAGCAGTGGATTACAGGCGTAAGCCACGGTGCCTGGCCCCTATTTTTTTTTTTAAAAGATGAGGTTTCATCATGTTGGGCAGGCTGGTCTTGAACTCCTGACCTTAGGTGATCTGCCTGCCTCGGCCTCCCAAAGTACTCGGATTACAGGCGTCAGCCACTGTGCCTGGCCAAGGTTGATGACTTCTAACTGCATCATAACCTAATCACTGAAGTGTATAAAGCAATGCATGTCAGCAAATAATTTGTCAAGCTCCTCATATGTGCCAGGAAACATGCTAGGCCCAACTTCATGGTGCCTGATGGGCAGCTGATTTTTTTTGTTTGGTTTTGTTTTTTGAGACGGAGTCCAGCTCTGTCACCCAGGCTGGAGTACAATGGTGCGATCTCCGCTCACTGCAACCTCCGCCTCCGGGTTCAAGCAGTTCTCCTGCCTCAGCCTCCCAAGTAGCTGGGATTACATGTGGCCGCCACCACACCGGGCTAATTTTTCGTATTTTTAGTAGAGATGCAGTTTCACCATGTTGGCCAGGCTGCTCTTGAACTCTTCTCCTCAGATGATCCACCCCCCTTGGCCTCCCAAAGTGCTGGAACTACAGGTGTGAGCCACCACCCCTGGCCTGGGCAGCTGATTTTTAAACCATTTGATGAAGTGACTTTCTTTAAAGGAAACATACTTAGCATCACCACCACAGTCCCATAGCTCGAATTCACAGCCTGTGCCTTTGTTGTTGCTGGTAACGTGCGGGTTCTCAAATTCCAGGATCCTAAAAGGAAAAAGAAGAGCAGTAGGCTGGGTGCGGTGGCTCATGCCTGTAATCTCAGCACTCTGAGAGGCTGAGGCAGGCAGATCACTTGAGGTTAGGAGTTCGAGACCAGCCTGGACAACATGGTGAAACCCTCGCTATGCTAAAAATAAAAGAATTAGCCGGGCATGATGGTGGGCACCTGTAATCCCAGCTATTGGGGAGGCTGAGGCAGGAGAATCGCTTGAACCTGGGAGGTGGAGGTTGCAGTGAGCCGAGATTGTGCCACTGCACTCCAGCCTGGGAGACAGGACGAAGAAGAAGAGCAGCAGTAGCACCAATAATGAAGCTGCATTACACTTTTGGAATGCCAACAGCAACAAAAGTAGGAGGTGGGTGATGGCTGGGCAGTCTTTTTAGATTGTTTTATTATTAAATTTTTTTTTTGAGACAGGGTCTCACTCTGTCACCCAGGCTGGAGTGCAGTGGCACGATCATAGCTCACTGCAGCCTCCAACTCCTGGCCTTAAGCAATCCTGCTGCTTCAGCCTACTGTGTAGCTGAGACTACAGACACATGCCAACTTACCTGGCTAATGTTTTATTTTTAGTTGAGATGGGGTCTCCCTATATTGCCCAGGGCTCAGGCGATCCTCCCACTTTGACCTCCGAGAGCGCTGGGATTAGAGGCATGAGCCTCCCTGCCCAGCCAGTTGGGCACTCTTGTGGACACAGATTTGTCAGGGCTCACCTCACTCCTTGGGTTGGGCTGTATTCAGTGATGTCAGAAGATTCTGTCAGAAAGTTGGCCAAAACAGTTTTTCCACTCTGTGAAAATGAGTGCAAATAAAGGTCTTTGTTGAAAGGCAGAAAAGGAAACCGAAAAAATCACCCCAAGAGGTGGCCTGGAAGCTGGTGCGGTGCAGTATAGGTCATTGGCACCCTGAGATCACTGGGGTGGTTATGACCACACTGTCTTGCTCTAGTGCAGTGGGCACAGCCTGGTCTGGGGCCCAGGGAGCATGGGATTAAGTTCTTTTTTTTTTTTTGAGACAGAGTTTCACTCTTGTTGCCCAGGCTGTGATCTGGGCTCACTGAAACCCCCAGGTTCAAATGATTCTCCTGCCTCAGCCTCCCAAGTATTTGGGATTACAGGCGCCCACCACCACACCCAGCTAACTTTTGTATTTATTAGTTGGGCTGGTCTCGAACTCCTGATCTCAGGTGATCCACCCGCCTGGGCCTCCCAGAGTGCTGGGTTTACAGGGATGAGAAACTGCGCCTGGCCAAGGAGTTCTTTTAGGTCACAGAGAGGATCAAAGTCAGCCTGGGGACTCATGGCTAGCTGTCTTATAATCTCACATGGAGCAGTTTGTCCATCTGGATTATATGAGTAATACACATTGCTTTTTTTTTTTTTTTTTTTGAGACAAGGTATTGCTCTGTTGCCCAGGCTGGAGTGCAGCAACATGATCACAGCTCACTGCAGCCTTGATCTGTAGGGCTCCAGTGATCCTCTCGCCTCAGCCTCCTGAGTAGCTGGGACTACAGATGTGTACCACCATGCCCAGCTAATTTTTGTATTGTTTGTAGAGATGGGGTTTCCCTATGTTGCCCAGGCTGGTCTCGCATGCCTGGGCTCAAGTGATCTCCCCACCTCAGCCTCCCAAAGTGCTGGCAGGTGTTAGCCACTGCGCCTGGCCTAAGACTTCTATCAGTTTTATTTATTTTTTTAGATGTAGTTTTGCTCTTGTTGCCCAGGCTGGAGTGCAATGGCGCGATCTTGGCTTACTGCAACCCCGCCTCCGGATTCAAGTGATTCTCCTGCCTCAGACTCACGAGTAGCTGGGATTACAGGCATGCGCCACCATGCCCAGCTAATTTTTGTATTTTTAGTACAGATGGGGTTTCACCATGTTAGTCAGGCTGGTCTCGAACTCCTGACCTCAGGTGATCCACCTGCTTTGGCCTCCCAAAGTGCTGGGATTACAGGCGTGAGCCACCGTGCCTGGCCAGTTTTTTGTTTTTGGTTTTGTTTTGTTTTGTTTTTTAACGCATTTAGCTTTAGTTCATCTGAGCTTTATTTCTGTGGATGATGTGAAGTTTACATGTAGATGTGATCTGATCCCCACTACCACACCCCCAACAAACACATTAATAGCCAGTGGTTCCAGGACCATATAGTAAAACGCCCAGGCCTCGAGCAGTGACTCACACCTGTAATCCCAGAACTTTGAGAGGCTGAGGCAGGAGGCCTTTTGAGCCCAAGAGTTGGAGACCAGCCTAGGTGCTAAGCAACATAGCAAGATCTTGTCTCTACAAATAATTAACAAATTAAGGCCAGGCGTGGTGGCTCATTCCTTTAATCCCAGCACTTTGGGAGGCCGAGGCGGGCGGATCACTTGAGGTCAGGTGTTAGAGACCAGCCTGGCCAACAAGGTGAAAACCCATCTCTACAAAAAATACAAAACTTAGCCAGGGGTGATGGTGTGGGCCTGTAATCTCAGCTACTCAGGAGGCTGAGGCAGGAGAATCGCTTGAAACCGGGAGGCGGAGTTTGCAGTGAGCCAAGATCATGCCACTGCACTCCAGCCTGGGTGACAGGGCGAGACTAGTCGGGCGTGGTGGTGCACGCCTGTAGTCCCAGGTACTCAGGAGGCTGAGGCAGGAGGACTACTTGAGCCCAGGGAAGTCGAGGTTGCAGTGAGCTATGATCACACCACTGCCCTCCAGCCTGGACGACAGGGCGAGAACGTCTCAAACAAAAGTCCAGACCCACAGACGCATTCATCAGGTGGATCCCGGAGGCAAGAGAAAGAGTCACGAAAACTAGGCTGTGGTTCCAGTGACGCCACTCAGTACCTTGGGCCTTCGGGGCTCATTAACACCGGGTTCGCCTCCACTACCTCCTCCGGGCAGTCGTTGGAATCAAGGTCTGAAAGCACGGAGTTCGCGGAAAGGGCAGGGGCGCCAGCCGGGATGGGCGCGGTGGGCCCGGGTTCCCGCCTCCTGGAGCAAGCCACAGACCAGACGGGTGGGGACCTGCGCTCGCTCAGGCCCCGAGGCCTGCTCCCCGCTCCCTCTGCCGCGCCGGGCCGGGACTCACCTCGCAAGGCCCCACGAAGAGGATCTTGGCCTTCAGCATCGTTGTCCGCCGCGGCGTAGCAGGCCGGAGCCCACCGTAACCGGCGCGTTAGGGCAAAGAGCTCCCGGGCCGCTTTCGTTTCCATGGCGACGGCGAGCGCCCCGCAGGGGCCGACGGGACTCGGCCACTTCCGGCGCGCGCGGCGGAAAGTGGGCGCGTCTGTGACTGGGTGGGGGTTGGAGAGAAGTCACAAAGCCCGGGCTGCAGACGCGGTTCCGCAGGGTTGGCCTCTATTTCTTTTAGAGACAGGGTTTCACTCTGTCGCTCAGGCTGGAGGGCGGTGGCGCGATCTCGGCTCACTGTAGCCTCCAACTTCTGGGCCCAAACGATCCTTCTGCCTCAGCCTCCCGAGTAGCTGGCGCTACAGGCACACGCCATCACGTCCGACTAATTTTTAAAATTTTTGTATTTGTAAGACCGGGTTTTGCTATGTTGCCCAGGCTGTTTTCGAACTCCTGGGCTGAAACGATCCTCCCACCTCCACCTCACCAAAATTCTGGGACTGCAGGCCCGTTCCATCAGTCTCGGTAGAGACGCGGAAAGCAAGACTCCAGGAGGGGGCGGAATGGCCGTTTCCAAATTGTTGTTTCTCCCAATAATCTCGAGAGCTCAGACAGGCCATACAAGTGCCAAGCTGGCCTTGGAACTAGGCCTTGACTCCTTTATCACTGTGGCATGATATCACTGTGGCTGTCCACTTGGGAGCCGATTTATCATAGCTGTGACCCAGCTTAAAAAAGCTCAGGTGAAAGTCTGGTTTCTGTAAAAGGATTCACCACTCACTATCATTCGTCTGACCTAGGTGAAACCAAAGAGATGATGGCTGGAATCCTTTAGTCAGTGCAGGTGTCTAGAAACATTGCTGCTAAATTCAGTCAGGTCAGTCTGAAAATACAGAGTCAAGTCAGAATTTCGGATAAGGCCATGATATTAAATGTCTCTGTGCCGAGAGTGCCGGTGCAAAATATTCTGGCCCACAAAGGGCTGACAAGACAAAAATTCCTCGTCAACCCACTATCAAATCTTTAACCTTCGGTAACATAGTTACATAGTCTTTGTATTGAAAAGAACTGCTTGGCCAACCTCCGTGGCCCAGGCCTGTAATCCCAGCACTTTGGGAGGCCGAGGCTGGTGGATCGCTTGAGGTCTGGAGTTCGAGACCAGCCTGGCCAACATGGTGAAAACTGTCTCTACTAAAAATACAAAAATTAGCCGGGTGTGGTGGCACGCACCTGTAATGCCAGCTACTCAGGAGGCTGAGGCAGGAGAATCACTTGAACCAGGGAGGCAGAGGTTGCAGTGAGCCAAGATGGCATCACTGTACTCCAGCGTGGGTGACAGAGCAAGACTCTGTCTCAAAATAAATAAATAAAAATAAATAACTGCTGAGTGAACAGTAAGGAAGAGTTCTTAATTTCAGCATGTCATTGTTGATGGATTAAATTAATATCTTTTTTTCTTTTCTTTTTTTTTTTTGAGACAGGGTCTTGCTGTGTTGCCCAGGCTGGAGTGCAGTGGTGTGATCTCAGTTCACTGCAACCTCCGCCTTCTGGTTTCAAGTATTACTCCTGCCTCAGCCTCCCGAGTAGCTGAGATTACAGGTGCACGCTACCATGCCTGGCTAATTTTTGTATTTTTAGTAGAGACGGGGTTTTGCCATGTTGGCCAGGCTAGTCTCAAACTACTGACCTCATGATCTGCTTGCCTCGGCTTCCCAAAGTGCTGGGATTACAGACATGAGCCACTGTGCCCAGCCAGTCCTCATTTTATTTTATTTATTTTTTATTTATTTATTTTTTTTGAGACGGAGTCTCACGCTGTTGCCCAGGCTGGAGTGCAGTGGCGCGATCTCGGCTCACTGCAAGCTCCGCCTCCCGGGTTCCCGCCATTCTCCTGCCTCAGCCTCCTGAGTAGCTGGGACTACAGGCGCCCGCCACCGTGCCCGGCTAATTTTTTGTATTTTTAGTAGAGACGGGGTTTCACTGTGGTCTCGATCTCCTGACCTTGTGATCCGCCCGCCTCGGCCTCCCAAAGTGCTGAGATTACAGGCTTGAGCCACCGCGCCCGGCCCAGTCCTCATTTTAAAAGGTATCCATTTTTTTTTTTTTTTGAGACAGGGTCTTGCTCTGTTGTCCAGGCTGGAGTGCAGTGGTGCGATCATAGCTCACTGCAGCCTTGACCTCCTGGCCTCAAGAGATCCTCCCACCTCAGCCTCCCAAGTAGCTGGGACTACAGGCACGTGCCCTACATCTGTTTTTTTTTTTTTAAATTTTGTGTAGAGATGGGGTCTTGTCATGTTGCCCAGGCTAGTCTCGAACTCCTGACCTCAAGCGATCCTCCCCTCTCAGCCTCCCAAACTGCTGGGATTACAGGTGTGACCCACGATGCCTGGATTTGCTTTCCTGTTTTATACACTGGTTTACAATCTGGATTCACTTTGATGCTCAAATTGCCGTTGATATGGCCACTGGGAATGTTGTCAAGCTGGTTTCTGCATCTTTTTGAAATGTCTTTCTGTGAGCCATTCCTTTCTTTTTTGGCGCCCGTACATGTTCCCAGGGGGTTATTTTATTACTATTGCTTTATAATCACCATATACTATATACATTCTTTTTCTATGTATTAAAAAATTTAAAGATTCAAAAGTTCAAGGAAACGAAAAAGAAGTTGTTCCTTTTCACACCTGGGAAAATTGGGGAAAATTTTGCTCCTCCTATTTTTGGCATGAAACATACACTCTTAGGTCTCTGGCCCTGGCTTTGGGAGAACTGGTGCCAGGCACAGGGGTAGGTGCTGGGTTCTGGAGGTGGTTCTGCACAGTCCCTTTGCCCTGGTAGCATCTAGGCCAGATGGGGAGAGCAGCCTGTGGAGTGCAGCTTGTCAAGTGTTTTCTCATGCACAGGCTTTCTTTTCCTTCTTTTTTTTTTTTTTGAGATGGAGTCTCACTCTGTCGCCCAGGCTGGAGTGCAGTGGCATGATCTCGGCTCACTGCAACCTCTGCCTCCCAGGTTCAAGCGATTCTCCTGCCTCAGTTTCCTGAGTAGCTGGGATTACAGGTGTGTGCCACCACGCGCCACTAATTTTTGTATTTTTAGTAGAGACGGGGTTTCATGATGTTGGTCACGTTGGTCTCAAACCCCTGACCTCAAGTCCTGTCTGATCTGCCTGCCTCGGCCTCTGAAAGTGCTGGCATTACAGGCCTGAGCCACTGAGCCCAGCCCCATGTACAGTTTAATTTTCATTTGCAAATGGAGCTATTACAGTGAGGCAAAGTATGAGTATCCTAAATCGATATCAGGGAGGAGGCAGGAACCATGGGCTTTCAGCAGCTCCAGTTCTCCTTTCTTTTATTTTCTTCTTTTTCTTTTTTTTTTTTCTTTTTTTTTTTTGAGATGGAGTCTTGCACTGTCACCCAGGCTGGAGTGCAGTGGCGAGATCTCGGTTCACTGCAATGTCTACCTCCTCGGTTCAAGTGATTACCCTGCCTCAACCTCTTGAGTAGCTGGAATTACAGGCATGTACCATCATGTCCGGCTAAGTTTTGTATTTTTAGTAACAACAGGGCTTCACCATGTTGGCCAGGCTGGTGTCAAACTGCTGACCTCATGGGATCCGCCCGCCTCGGCCTCCCAAAGTGCTGGGATCACAGGCGTGAGCTGCTGCGCCCGGCCCAGTTCTCCTTTCTATTTATAAAGATGCCATTTGCCCTCTGTGCACAGTAATGGTTTTGCCTCTTGCCAGGTCCAGAGTCCAGGCTTCCTCACCTTGGTGTTTACCTCATTGCACTGGGTGGAAGTTTGTGTGCTACATTTCTTAACAACACATGCCTTCACTGAAGGGTATCTTTGGTGTTTGGGTCCACTGATCACAACTCTAAGCCTGGTACACCATAGATGCTCAATAGTGTTGGTTCTGGGCCAGTGCAGTGGCTCACGCATGGAATCCCAGCACTTTGGGAGACTGAGGTGGGAGGATCACTTGACACCAGGCGTTTGAAACCAGCCTGGGCAATAAGCAAGACCCTGTGTCCACACACATACACACACACACACACACACACACACACACACACACACACACACACACAATCAGCCAGGTATGGTGGAATGCCTGTAGTCCCAGCTACTGGGGAGGCTGAGGTGAGAGGATCACTTGAGCCTAGAAACTTGAGGCTGCAGTGAGCCATGATCGTGCCATTGCACTGTAGCCTCAGTGACAGAATGAGACCCTGACTCAAAAAAATAATATTAAGCCGGGAGCGGTGGCTCACATATGTAATACAGATGTGATTTTGGGAGGCTGAGGTGGGTGGATCACCTGAGGTCAGGAGTTGGAGACCAGCCTGGCCGATATTGTGAAACCCCTGTCTCTACTAAAAATACAAAAATTAGCCGGGCGTTTTGGTGGGAACCTGTAATCCCAGCTACCTGGGAGGCTAGGCAGGACATTTGCTTGAACCCAGGGGGCGGACGGAGGTCACAGTGAGTGGAGATCATGCCACTGCACTGCAGCCTGGGTGACAAAGCGAGACTCTGTCTCAAAAAAAAAAAAAAAAAAAGGGCGTGTGTGGTGGCTTATGCCTGTAATCCCAGCACTTTGGGAGGCTGAGGCAGGCAGATCACCTGAGGTCAGGAGTTCGAGACCAGCCTGGTGCAACATGGTGAAACCCCATCTCTACTAAAAATACAAAATTAGTCAGATGTGGTGGTGCACGCCTGTAGTCCCAGCTACTCGGGAGGCTGAGGCAGGAGAATCGCTTGAACCTGGGAGGCAGAGGTTGCAGTGAGCTGTGATAGTGCCACTGCACTCCCACCTGGGCAACAGAGTGAGACTCCATCTCAAAAAAAAAAAAAAAAAGATAAAAGACGTGTAAGTTTCATCTTCCCCTTCATAACACACACATAGAAACACATACATACTCATTTACTCTATAAATATTTAAGTTAATGAATGTTCCCTTAATCCTCCCAAGAGCCTTTAGTTTTTGGTCCAGGTGAGAGAAATAAAAAATATGAAATGCTTTACATTTCTTCAATATATGTGCTGTATACATTTGGGATGAGTATTGTAAATTATTGAAATACTTTTGCTTTATGAC